ACGGTAGACACTCAAGCCGGCGATTGGCGAGAAGTCACCAATGACTATGTCATTAGGTTCTCCTCCTTGTCAAACAATGGCAGGCTGGGCTTCTGGTCATACTTCTGGCTGGGTCTACTGCCGATAGCTAGATCAGCTGCAAAAAACGCAACGTTGTGTGAGACTTGCCCTGCGAGGGAGAACCTCGGGTTCCGTGGTAATCACTAGGACGGATCCCTCCTATACCACTCCCCTTCTCCAAGCCTTCCGGGGGCAGTTTGTTTATGAATTATAAAATTTCTATCGATGCACACACAAGTTCGTGAGAGACCAATACGAATTTGCAGTCGTAGGATCTCAAAACGAACATAAATCCGCATTATATGCATGCGCAGGAGTGCACGATCACAGGAAAACGACAATAGAAAAAAAGCAAAACTTTGGCAGTGTGAGGAGTCGAACCATCAACACCGCCCTTTTCCGTCCGATTCACAGACCGCACCACTAACCACTAGGCCATCCGACTGCCGCTGATAGCATGCTTCAGACGGCGCTGATGAATGTTCCACAATAGTTTCAATACATGCCAAGGTGATCGTTTTATTTTTGACCGAATTCCGCATTGTTTTCAATGTACAATTCATGAGAACCTTTTGATATGACACTGGTCAACGCTGTGTGCGATGTACGTCACAACAAAGCGGTTAGAACGGCAGTTCCTTAAGAATTTTTTCTTCGCTCCTTTTTTGGTATTCAGGAGCCGCTCAGGAAAAATGAACTACAGTTTGGTGTTCCATGCATGTGTCCCTATATCATGCAAAAAACCGTTTTGAAAAAGCTTGGCATTTCCTGGAAGACCTCCCTGGTAATCGTATAATTCCATACAATTATACTCCCTACACAGCATAGCAACCTGACAGTAACGCAAGAAGTTTGAGAAAATAATACGACAATGAGAACAAATTGTATACAGGAGAATCTCGCTTAACCGCACGCCAGGAAACGGCAGGATTGCGCAGCAGCAGCGTCAGGATTTTTCTTCAATAAAATCCGAGTGAAGGGAGATTTCCTCTGCCCAGGGCTGGCGTAGATGAGCGAGGGTATGAAGATTCTTTCCATGGAAGAAAACTTTCCAAATTCCATTTCAAGCCCTGCAGCCACAGTAATACCATTGTCCCGAGTGAGAGCTTTGTCAGCCACCGGTGGCTGACATTGTCACGAATGGGTTAAAGGAATGGTCACGATAGCTCTCTGAGGCCGATAAGCAATGCTGTGCACTGGAGTGGATAGGGGTCCAGCCCTAATGTTACAGTTAAACATGTGAAGTTTCAGCGGCAGTGCGCCTTATCAGCGGAGTGATAAGGCGCCGAAATCCACTTCCGGTTAGCAAAAACCAAGACTTATCGATGTGGAAAGGGCTGCAAGGGGTGCGTGTTAGATATGATACCGTTATCGTGATTGTCCGATTCATTCTAGAGTGTACTTTCTAGCAGCCGCATCTCCTCCATATTATACCAGATTAGTCCCCCGTCAACCGCCGGGACCTTCCTTTCCTGCGCAAGCTTTCTATCCTCCGCTATGGTCCCTTCCTCCTGTGACACCAACACCTCGTGGAAGTGACGCGTATGCAACACAATGGTGTTTCATACAGTAGAAGGGACACAATCATGATATGACGGTAGATTTTTCGCTTCCCTTCCTCATCCTCCCTTCCTCTCTCCACTGCCCTCCAGCTGCCACTGCAGCACCATGTGGAATGAACGGAAGTGTGCTAAGCAGGTGTTTATATAGCCCTAAGAGTGTTATCACAACTATCCTGCTACAAAACATTGATATCTCAAATCCTGTAAGCTACCCGATTTGTTAGCGGTTTGTTTATCCCATGAGCTTCCTTCTCACTCACTTCATTTTGCGGACGGACACACATACATACACACACACACACACACACACACATACAGATACACAAACCGACACACAAAGTTAGCGCTTTATATAATAGAAGGATTGTATTTTATAGAAGTTAAAGTCTGTCTGAACCATACTCTATCTCAGCCTACGTTGCATAACGCCAGGGTAGCAAATTCCAGCGGGAAGCCAAGCATTAAAACCATACGCACAGCCATCCAAGCATTGAAACACTGCAGTACCGATGAAATTTGCACAAAGTTTTCTAATTTGCAGACACCACAGAGATAGAGCAGCGACTAGAGGCGCCACATGTAACTCGTGTAGTCCACAAGATCGAACTCCCACAAAATAACCACGACCATTATCTCCAAGACGGCTGAACAGTCACGAAGCTACAGAGACTATACATGAGTTGACAACGAGCCATCAAATCTCAAAAATAAACCAACCACACTCAGCTAGACACGCGACCATAAAAAGGACCACAGAAGTATGGCTAACCACAAGGGGGCCGCACCTTGACGCTCCTTTACTCGTTTACGATATGTATTGTTCTCTTTTCGTCTTTTTATATCCACGATATGTACTCATACACATGTTCAAGATTTGTTAGGAGGTCCAGAGAGAGGAAATGGAGAAAAAGAGAGCTGTTTCTTAGAATCCTTCCCGCATATTTTGCTGCAGCACTCGTACAACGAATTCAAAGGGCAAGTACACTGTTCCTGGAAGTCTATAGAGGAAGTTGCACGAGTAAATCACATGCGCATGAATGCATCTCACGATATTGCAGCAATGAATAGATTTTACAAGATCTCATGTCTGAGGGAAATTTTACACGATTCAGCACATCCATTAGACTGCTGGATACGGTAATCATGAAGATACAAATAAAAACGTGCACCGGGAAAATGAAGTAGTCGAAGTTGTAGCAGAGCGGCGTTTCACGTGAAAAACAGAAAATGAGAAGACGTATGACTATTAAAGATAATAATCAGTAATTGTGTGAAAATGGGTTGATACGTTCAACGGAGCAGTGCAACTCCTAGTTTTGCCCAATATCGCAATTGAAATATGATCATTTGCTGAGCTCACCGAAGATATCTCGCAAATTCTAAACAACTAAAACCCAGCTAGAAAAATTCACTCATACCTCTCAAAGAAGAACGCGTCAAACACCAAGGTCCGGGACATTAGGACAAACGTCTATATGGTGGGTTCCTAGAGGATACCTAGACGTTTCCATAGATTTTAGAAAGGATCTTAGGCCAGATGACCCGAGGCATGCCCCAAATGCAACAAGTAAAGCTCTGCGAAAACAAATGTTTGGTCGCATGTCTAGCACCGCGAAACATGGCTGCCTTTCTGAAATGGCTACAGGCCTATTATATTGATGCACAGGGTTCATTCTCCTCAAACTGACCATAGTGAGGAGTTTTTACGGACATCGATATAATTCGTTGCTAGGAAACCATGTACATCCTTCTTACAACTTCTACGAAAGAGGAGACGTTCACGATGCGGTAATGGAACCCACTATAAATTACACCATTAAAGGCGGAGTTTGCGATTAGAAGGCAGCCTGTTAGAATCAATGTAGGTGATGGTGCCCGGATGAACAAAAAACATGATGACGTTCCAGATCCCGAAATAGGACCCTTCCTTCCCGTTGACTTCCACATTTATGCGACTCTCATCTCCGATGCGCTATTCATCGCTAACGCTCTCTCTGCTAAAGGCTAGAGACTTGATCGAGTACTTGCCCAGTCGGTGGCCTACCGCGCCAAAATCGCCGCAGGGAGGGCCATGCTAGAGCGCCGCGGGTACATCCTTCGCTGCGCACTGCGCGTCAATCCACACTCTTACAGGGTCCGCCAGTCCTTTTCACTGAATAAGTTCCCTTCTTCGACCTGTAAGGGTCTAGGCTGAGTTCAAAAGGTCAAAGGGAAAAAGGCATGAATCACGTTACAGTACGCCACTAATGTTGAAGCTTTCAGATTGCGGAGATAAGCACCGACCGAGAGAGGGTGGAGTCGAATGGGCACTCAGTACGGTCTCAGGAGCCTCACCAGCCTCGGGTCCAGCCGCCGAGCCTGTCGCCCGTCGCCTGCTATCTTCATCCACATTGCTCCAGTAAGACTGTATTCTGGTATTCTGTCCAGTATACAATAAACTTGACTCCTTTATTGTGTACTGTGTTTGCTAGAGTAGAGCTGTAGAGAAGCGGGAGCTATAACTGACCTTGCTCTCGTGAACTCATTACCACCTAACCTAAACTTTGAAACCTGAAGCTCTACGGAAACACACATTGTAAATATCTAACACCATATGAGCAATGGAAACATGCCAAGGTAAATATGACAAGAGACCTCGGAACCCACAACAGGTACCACCACAAGAAAGTTCCGGTGTCACGCTTCAACAAGCGCAGCACCCACCAAGTGCGGCTAGTACATTAACCTTTTCTCACGTCGAGGCAAGTACATTTCGAAGAAAATTTCTTGCTTCTTTTTTCAGTTACGAGTGGGTGGTGCCTAAGGAGCTGAGTAAGTGCAGGTTCTGATGATACACCTAATTTCGTAATTCTGAGGGTAGCAGAACGTTCGAAAAATTATCTGAAACGTGTTCGGATCAAGAATAGGGTTGATTAATGAGCGATCATGCCAGCGCTTCTCTTCACATGCTGCTCATTCTCGCTAATTCAGAGCGCAGGCGAAGCACTAGTATGTGGCGCCGTTACCACCCACATTGTCAGCAGATCAATTCTAGCCATATCACCACGCCTTCTAAATCTCCCGATTCGGCTCATAATATTAGATTTCTCTCAGAAAATGAGTTGAACACCGAGTGGCACCCGCGAATTACAGTTCAAGCGAAATACGCACCCAAGTGCCATTACGACTTCAAGTGGAATTCCAATATCTGGCGTATTCCGAAAAAAGGTTGATCTTTGGGGGTATGCCATTCTTTAATCTCTACAACCCGCTTACTCGTCCGTGAAATAATCGATGACAACTGCTCACCAAACCTTTCATAACCAATAAGCAATCCTCTAAAAGCACGTGAAGCGCTAGAGCGCATAATTATCGACGATGGCAAGGCACGAAAAATATTTACCGCAAAAAATTTGGATCATTCGCATCTTCGGGCTCGTCATATACCTCCATGCGGCTTTGATTTACGCAGGCTTTCGCCATTGATCTGGAATCATGAAAGAATTCATGTGAAATTTCTACTGCCAATTCCTTGCATTCATAGCAGTGAGAAAAAGAAAGATGATGAAAAGGGAAGTAAATGAGAAATCGACCTGAACTTTTCCTTGTCTTCGCGCCATGTTATTGCTGCGCTCGGATTTGCACATGAATCTGGTTCGAAGTCGAATGAGAAAAACAACCGCTGTAAAAATAATTTGACTACAGCATGGCTGCCGAAACTTGCAAAACTTTTTTGCCAGAAAAAATTGAGTATGAAGTAAGTCAGTTTGGATATAGTACAAAGTGCGTTTATTTTGATTTCCCAATAAATGTTGCTATTGAATGACAAGAATTTCCAAACTGGCCTACTTTTACCTCACCAGGTTTCCATTCGGACTTAACCTCTAAAGCTATGTGGTCGTCTTTAGCCCTGGCCTCCTTCCTGCAAATTTTTGTCTCAATTAAAGGAATCTTCCGCGGACTATGGACCAGTGGGCGGGACCAGAAGTTTTCGTGAAGAAATGCATGGTAGGTAGGACCCCGTGCAGCAGAGTCAACCCTGCGTTGCGCAGTTCGCAACGGCACGTTGAGAGATCCTCAACGCACGCTGTATGGGCGGAGACGCAGACGGCTCGAGCATGCGAGTGTGAATGTTCGCGCGAGAGAACGTGTCTAATCGGGCGAAACTGCGCAACGTGGCCGTTGAGAACTGCGCAACGCAGGGTTGACTCTGCCCACGTGTCGAACGCACGAACGTGAACAGGATTCACTTCAAACCTTCCCATGAACGTGGATCCGTACCTACCATGCATTTCGTCGCAAAACCACTTCCGGTCCCGCCCACTGGTCCATGGTCCGTGGAAGATTCCTTTAAGGTAATAGGACGGCATACTGTTAAATCTTTGCATTGGCTCTAACATTACATTACAAAGTTACCTCTTACTTGATCCTATGATAAGGTTTTTCAAATTTGGGAAAAAAGGCTGAGAAAGGAATTCGTAAGCAACACCCATGAATAGCTAGCAATCTGGTTTTGCTCTGGTTAGCTTTAAAACTGCTGTCAGTTCTTCTAATAGAGGCATATCGAGGCATGATTGCAAACTGCACAGAAACCACATACTTGAACGACTAGCAAGACATTCTGAATATGATGCTTGTCCTTTTTCCAACAGCCATCAGGGAAGTAGCGACTGAGATCGGGCCGTTGATGAAATGGATCAATGTTTGGATGGAAAATGAATAGATCGAATTTCACCACCTGAAGTGCATTGTTACAAAACGAAATATTTTCACAACAAAAAGGCTCAGTATGAGAGGAAAGTAGCTTCAGTGAGCTTACTCCATAACACAAATGGATAAATGGAATAATTCTGGAAAATAAACTCTATTGAACACTTGTTAGAAGCAAACTCCTGCATGCAGCCGTGTCGGTCATAACATCTAAGAGTCCTCTGGGATTTCTTCTATGGTCTTCAGCATGGTAGTATCCAAAAGAACGCAATACAGCCTGCGCGCTCCAAATATGTGAGTCATGTGCAAATTAAAAGAAGGTTTTCATTATCAACTGCTATAGTGTACAATGAGTGTACAGTTGCGAGCACCTATGTCAAAAGAGAAAAATAAAAAACGTAAGAAGGAAAGATGTGAAAGAAAAGCGAATTAAGAGACGCGAGGGATGTAAACAGAGCTGCGACTCCCCATCAGGTCTCACGACATATGTCAACCGTGAGCCTTGGAGGTTCAGCGTTTTGTAGTGATGTCTGGGAGCTCTCACAAGTGCACACTATCACAGCATCTCCTCTTTCTTTATCTTCTTCAAAAGGCTTAGTCCCAATAAGACACAAAGTGTGTGCTTTTCCAGCTACGCTCTCACCCTTTGGTTGACAGAAGCCTTTGTAACCCTCCCCATCACAGTGGGAAATCAGAAAAGAGGATGGCAACATGCATCGAATACTGGAGCAGACACAAGTGCCGAACAGTCAAGGCATGCGGTAACATGAACCCTCAAATTTGAATTATTTTTGTTGATGTGGCTAAGAGTATACCGCAAGGACCAGGAGATCCGATGAAAGAAATAGGATCCTTAAGATCAAGAGCAATATTACAAAGCGACTTACCGGTAGAGAGGTTGTGTTAGGAAAATCACGCGGTATTCTCACGTTAAATCGGAAAATACCACCACCAAATACGCCCCGTCGAACAAATAGAAGGCCGAACCATCCTGGAACAGTCAACGTTTCTGGATAATAAGAATTTGCGGGCTCCAATGTGGAGGAAGCACTCACTGAACTGATCTTCTGCGCTCGGTACAACATACATGCCATCTATCGGCTGTCGACAAACTCTTGCACTGTAAAACTACATTCAAACTTTTCGCAATCAATCCAAAATTGCATTAAATTACTTGTGAAATGGAAAGTAGTAGAAGAAAATCACTCACAATTCGCTAGAAAGAGCATGTCTGACCATGTAAAAAGGAACTATCTTCAGCGGCTCGGCTGCTCTCGCTTCAACTGCGAACTCGTATGTATTGTTCATATCATTTTCTGTCGCCAATGACTGCGCTAACCTCATTTTTTGCCCTGAATGATGTTAAATACGTTTTCTGCTTACAATCAGTATACGTTGGCCGGCTTTACAACAGTAATGTTCTATTAACAATGGAGACGCTCACGATGTCAAAGAAGATGGATGAGTGGCCACCAAAATCACAATGCAAATGGAAACAGTTAGGCGCAGACACGTTTCTTGCCGTACTAAACAGAAGTCACAACTGATCATCTGCTGCCTTCCGTTGGGTCTATGCTGGCCATACTTTTCCAATCACGAAAAAAAAAGAGCAGCATCATATCACCGACAGAAAAGCGCGAATACAAACGAAACCGACAGCTGACATAACCATTCGCAAAAGAAGGTAGATGCATTCTATCGACCTACATGTACATTTCTGAACGCCTTCTATTCCAGCGGAAAGGCGAGTCACTCACTAATAGTGAAATATAGGTATGGTCAAATTGATAGGATTCCACTCGTCATTCGTCTTTGATTGGCTGCACGCAAAAACCAGCCAATCATGGGCGAGCTGGTGTGTCGGGCGGCAGGGGTGTGGTTCGCTGAGACAGAAACGACTTTTCCGTTTTCGCAGCAAGGAAACCCAAGATTTATCACTGATCAGGCGTGGACCTGGGGTTCTCGCAACGGAAGATATCGAAAGCGGAAAAGTCGCTTTCTGTCCTAGTGCCACAATCATCCCTGATCGTGAATGACGCAGTTTCTGTAGCCAAAAAAAAAACAGGTCTTCCGATGCGGAAAAAAGTGAAAACAGTCCGTCTAAGCGTCCCTCACCCACCCACCCGGCTTGCAGCATCGTGTAGCAGAGGGATACTGAAATATAAATCTCAGCACTTATCGCAGAAGTACAAGACCGCAATGCGCAACTATGCTACAGCTTCAGATACATATCCTTACTGAAATAATGATTCATGACAGATAACCATGATTCAGTTTCGCTCGTTTCGTATAGCGAGCTCTTATCTCGTTAGACTTGCAATTATCATCTCTTTTTGATGGAAGTCTGTGTCAGAGTCACCGTCCGCAGTTTTGTGTTTTCGCGATTTGCGCTATTTCAACGCGACGGTAATGGAAATCACACATCTCACTATCACCGCAACGCAAGTGCCTAATCAATATACAATGTGTTCTCATCAGGTGAATTATCGCTTAGTATGTTCCGCAGAAGCTACGTCGGGAATTTTTGTCGATCTCTCGCCGCGGAATTACATCGCCATTGTCCCCATCATATTCGTGTCGTCTCGGCTCTGCGCGTGGGTGAGTCACATCTTTCGGGCAACTACTTTCTGCATGTAGAGCAGACTATGTTCAAGGAATCCCCGATCAATACTACTGTTCTCCAATCCTGCCGCCACTTCTGCTTGATAGTGATGGCTGAATGACGACTGCTCATGATTCCACTTGTTTCATATTCAGTGTTTCAAATGTTCAAATGGGCACTTGCAATTTTTGCGATCCGTCGCAGGTTTCGCGCAAATCGCGAAAATCGTTCAAATCGCAGAAATCGCGAAAATCAGCGGAACCTGCGACGGATCGCGGACTCTGACACCAGCAGAACTCATGGATGGAGGATCCACGGAAGAATTTCCTATTCTTCGTGTAAAATTGACCAGCACCAATAGCACAGTTAACGTTCAGGGAACAGTAGAAATAGAAAATCGACACTGCCGATGCTCAACATTACAGCCTTGAGTGAAAATCAAAGGGAGCACAGTAAAAATATTCATTGATCACGTGATGCAAAGATTCACTTGCACTACAATCAGCTCTGTGTAGAGAATAATTTACAGAAAAATCTTTATCTATGAACAATCTACAACTACATCAATCTACTTCGATTCCTTCAAGTAGGTATACGGTGGGAGCAATTTTCCGTAAGCGAGGGTGAAAAGGTTGTAGATGCCGATGATTAGGCACATGAAACCTGAAATAGTAAAGTCAAGAAAAGAAGATATTCTACAAAACACTCCATCGCTGAAACACTCACCAAACAACTTCACCATTTTGGTTAGAGCTCGATCAAACGGACCTGCCTCTTCAGACTTCTTTCCATCAAGAAGGGCTTTCTACAAGGAGGAGTTTCAAATGCAAAGAATAAGATGGGAATATGCGAATAACTTACCGAATAGACTTCAACCCTCTTTCTCAACTGAGGATCGTACAAACCATACTTGCCCATCACGAGTTTGCCCACTCTTGTTCCCTCAGGGAGACGAGGAAGAATTTTACCAGCAGCCTGAATGTGGAATGATTTTTGTCATATATCCTCTAGGTGGGATAGAATTCCCCCTAACAAAATCTGAAACATGACATGTTTACCGAAATAAAAGGAAGAAACATCGAACAAGAAACAAATAATAAAATTAAATTAAAACGCTCACTCCGAGCTGCCATTCTCCAGGATTGAGGGGGTCGAACTCCTCAAGGGTTGGAGGCGTCTGGAAAATGAGTGCAAAAATTAACTTTGATGGAACCCGTGAATGTGTTCACTCGTCAAGATACTTCATTTACAGCTACGACAGACTTCAGATTTGAAGTTCGTGAAATGAGATACCACGATTTCAAGATAGAATTACATCTACGGAACAAAAAACAGGCTGCTACAGCCACCTGTTCAGGCCAGTTTCCGTTTACGTAAACAACTCTCTAGTTGTTGTGCCAGCAAATCTTTTCAAGAACGCCCACAAACAAAGAATAGCGAAATGATATTAAAACTACAGCTGGTCAACTATAATAAAGCGACCATTTCATCATAAGCGTTATTCGCAATGTACAATTAACCAGTCACAATGAGTTTAGGCAAGCTACACTGCCGATTTTCTTAGAACGCGATTATCAACCCGACTTCAAAAGTAGCAGAAACACACCTTGCCCGCATGGGTGGGAATCTGACTATATGTCGTAGCACATCGAATAGAATGAAGTCGGACTGTACCGAGTGTGCGAAGAGCAAGCATGGTCACTGTAATGTAATTTCAACATTCGAAAAAAAAACTGTAATAACATTGAAAGGGAAAGGAAGAAAACAGCAAGGAAAGCAAGAAAAGTAATGGGAATCGTCCAGAAATAATGTAGTGCATTCACAATCACAGCTCGTATATAAAAATGAAAAAAAAGAGTACATTAATGCGCAACATATCTGGAAAATGTTGCACTAATAGACCACCAAGACAAATATAAAACAAAAAACCTCGGCGCAATGTGGCTCTGGGGGTGCCAGCGTGTAGCATTGCGTCAGATCCACGAGAACTTTTACTTTTGGGACTAAGCATTGAAGGAAAAGAGGGAATGAGAGCTGCGTAAACAATTTGTGTTGGGCTTAGTCCTAGTGACCTTCCGACAGACTGCCCCCCCCCCCAGAGGCAGCCAAATGCGGGCCGGAAAGCCGCGCCCCCGCGCGCCCCCCCCGCGCGCCCCCCGGCGCGGCCCCCGCCCGCCCGCCGCAGGCCGCCGCCCGCCCCGCCCGCCGCCCCCCCCCCCGGCCGCCCCCGCCGGCCGCCGCCTCTCCGACAATTCCGCCTGTAAGGCCTACTTCAATGATTCACGAATTTATTTTCGAGTTAAAACGCCACACTTAGGCGTGGGTCGCTAGGACACAGGACACAAGTTTCTGGAGTGAAAGTTTTGCGCTGAGAAATGCGGAAAAGCCGCTTTCTGTCCCCAATACTCAAGTTTATTCATCAAAAATCCTCAAATACCTACGTGTGGGAAGGAGTTATCTGGCTTACTAATCACGAATATGACACCGATTTTCCACGTTGACCTCACCTCGCGCAGTTAGAAAACAATCAGCGTCAAATTAGCGCCAAGTGGAGTTAGCACCAAAATTCCCATGTCATTTTTTCGTAAATCAGTACATCGAATTACACCAATGGGTGAATTTCCACTTTTTAAGAGATTATAGTGCTGAAGGCGTCTAGAGTTGATAGATAGTACAACAGTTTCTTTGAATTGTCAAAAACCCCACAAAGACTGGCGCTCGGAGCGCCATCGCTCGGTACGATTGATTGCCGGAGAAGCACTATGAACCTGCCTTAAAACAACTACTAACAAACTCGTTGATTCAAAACGAGAAATCCAGAAAAAGATCCTTGTGCAATTCAGTGCCCTGATCAGGAATGCCATTCGTTTTTTTTTTGGGTTAAAGTTCACGCCGCCTTGACGCGATTTGGAACCAGCGCCAGAAGCGCCACAAATCATAAAGATTTTGAATAACAAAAAAGTCTTAAACCAGACTTTCCCTTGATCTTCATTATCAAAACCGCGTATACGGTAACCGCCTTGATCTACCTTCGATGCTTGCCGCCAAAAAAAGACGCGTTCAACCGAAATCGAGGGATTGGCAAAAGCGGAATACCGCGGACACTTCAGAGACAGCAGACGACCAGATGATTATTGGCTCACTATAATAAGAGCTGTAGTACTGTGCGGGTGTGGGTACTTAGGACAGAAAGCGACATTTCCGCGCTTCGCAATGGGCGACATCGCGCGATGTTACGTATTTATCCCACCCTGCGCCCGTGCGATTGCGTACAGCAGGCGATTACAGTACTCTCACGGCTAGTTCCGCTATCGTTGGCACCCTGTTTTCGATTGAATAACTACGGGTAGACTAGGCGTGGTGTACTGTAGATCACGCTTGCGTACGCAATTGGCACCGGCTGTGGGTGGCGCTACGCAACGCGACATCGCGCGGCAGGCTAGTGCTCCCGCAGCGAAAACAGCTACGGTATGAAGAGCGCGCGATTGGAGCAGCTTTTTTCGCATGCGTGAATTTGTAAGTTTCTGATTTATTGCTTGCCCACGCTCACACTCATTGTATTGAGACATGCGGTGAATCACCAATTCTCTCTCATCAATGGAAATGTTTTGTGAATTACACGATTCCGAGCGATGCCGTTAAAGTGGTATTCTAGAATTCTAGAACACTTCAAATTATTGGTGAACGAGGTAATTACACACTCATCGGCCTAGGTAATACTCTATATATCATAGCAAACTCAAATCCTTTGTCGTGAGTCTCATCGAACGTCCATCAACCACTCCTCTTCCAGGGTCTACCATCCATCCTCTGCAAAATTAACCTACCTCTTTCTTCACTGCTATTTAGTGGTCCTCTTCTGGTGGCCATTTCCTCGTTCACTATCAAGTCCATGGTTAGTAAGCTTCAATTCCTTGTCGCAACTTAGAACCAGAGCAAATAACGCGCTCCATTCACGCGCCCCTCGTACCGTAGCTGTTTTCGCTGTGAGGAGCGCTGGCCTGCCGCGCGATGTCGCATTGCGAAGCGCGAAAATGTCGCTTTCTGTCCTAAGAGCCCACACCCATACTGTGCCGACTCGCGAGTCGCCGCGACACGTGCGATCGGACCGGACGATCGATGCGTATCTAATAACCGCCCGGTGGTTGCGATCGGACGACCGACTATGAAGGCGCCCTTTGAGCATCAAAGCCGTTTCCGGCACTATACAATACGACAATCTCAGACGCCAGAGGTGCCAGCGTTTAAAATAGGCGTCATACTCTCAGGGGCGGTATTCAATCCTTCCCCCAGGGGGATATATCCCCCTACTCTGATTCAATCCTCTGGGGGGACAAAAAAGGGTTGCGTCATAGGACCTAGCATACCTCTGTGTTTCTACCTGCCAGACAGTTAGAGCAGCGCGACCCCTCAGGGAAAGAGTGCTTCATCAGTGGAGGGTAGTAGCGCTGCTCTAACTGTCTGGCAGGTAGAAACACAGAGGTATGCTAGGTCCTATGACGCAACCCTTTTTTGTCCCCCCAGAGGATTGAATCAGAGGAGGGGGATATATCCCCCTGGGGGAAGGATTGAATACCGCCCCTGACCTTAACACAGAGGTTTGAGTGAATTTGGTGAAAAAAGGTGCGGCGCCAAACTTGGTGGACGGGCGCCAACAGTTTCAACGGCAAAAACGTCAACGGGTCAAGGTCGTGTAACATTAAGAAGGCGGGCAATGAAAAATGACCAACCCCGCTACAGTTAAAGGAATCTTCCACGAAAAAAGCTCCGCCTCCATTACCACAGAAAAACGATACCTTAGGCCCCTAGCCTCATGAGCATAGCAAAAAGAACGGAACATAAGCGTTAGTTTCGATAATACTAATCCTACACACAAGACAAAATGATCACTCTTTCCGTGGAAGATTCCTTTAAGGTATCGTTTTCTGTGGTAATGAGGGCGGAGCTTTTTCCGTGGAAGATTCCTTTAAAAAGTTTGCTAACTTTCTTTGACTTTCTTGGGGCTTTAGTACTGCGAAAATGCCAAAGAATTCGATCTCGCTGGTGTTCCAAAGTAAGCGCATGATATTCCAATAGTTCTAAGAGCCACCAACACTTGCAAAAACATGATGAAAGACCATTGAGTGACATGAGTGTTGGCAACAGGCTCACTAATCGAGCCACCTTGTAGCAAAATGAAACTAATTTCTCAAAAAGCAAGACTTCAACAGAAATATGAACAAGCTTCAAGGGCAAACCACGAAGAAAACGCACTCGCCAAGTACTGAAGGACAGGCAATGCGAAGAATCGTCGCGGGACCATGCAAAACAGCTGCTTTCTCACTGGAGCACATTATTTTGTCAGGGCTTGCATTCAATTTTATTTATGTGCAAGAAGCTCATACAAAAGTTAGTTACTGTGTGATTATGGCTTTTCGTTCTTCATTCGAAGGGGCCGCAGTCATGCATTCTGACCGTTCTGCATTCGTTTTTGAAATGGAAAGAAGGTCCTGTGTTTTCTCTTGTTTTATGTGGAGAAATAAGTATCGACCATGCGACTTTGCGATTTACGATCACAACATGGCATGTTCGAGAAATTATCTACTCCATCCACGAACCATCGCAAGACCACAAATCATAGGGCCTTTGGGTTTCAAGGCGTAAAAACATTTTTTTCCTGAATTAACGGGAGGGTTAATTTCGAGAGAGGATGAAGGAAGAGTACTCGGACTTTTGTGAATAGACGAGTGGGCGTAAAGTACGTCTGAAGCAAGCTTGTAAAGTGGCAACATAAACGCAGCCGCGTTCATAGTTCGCGACTCGGAAGATTAGGATAGTAGGCGTCAGGATATTAGGATAGTAGTAGAGTAGGAGATTGCGCTGACAAGATTAGATATGTATTGATCTATTCGCTTGAAGTCGCCCAATCTACTACTCTCCAGCGATTTCAATCGATACGTATCCAATCTTGTCAGCGCAATCTCCTACTCTACTACTATCCTAATATCCTGTCGCCTACTATCCTAATCTCCCGAGTCGCGAACTATGAACGCGGCCCTAAGAATGGTCATGATAAGTCTTCTTATACGGACAATACTGCTTTCAAGTTGCCTGTGGTGCAAAAGTGTTAGCCTATGCGGACTGAAAAGATTTTCTCATTGCTTTCAGACTTTCGCAAGTCAACTTATGGAGATCAACTATGGAGATAGAGTCACCTGCCTCTCCAGGTGCAGACTCTCCAGCGAGTCCAACACCATGCACCAACGCCGAGACCCCAGTTGTGATTGATGTAACGGATGAGGTTAGTTGATTTAGAGCATATTGCCACAGGCGTGTTTTGCCTATTTTCATAAGTCTATCCTATCCGCGACTGGGAGCATGATCGATCTTTTGTCCAAAGGGGGCATTTGCTTCCAAAGAGAGAAACATGCCAGAAAGTGTACACAATTTCTGTAAAAGTTGCCAAGCAGCGAACAAAGCACAACATGTAAAGTACCGTTATATCTTTTAATTCATCAGAAAACTGCAGCTAACAAGACAAAACGTCAAAAGGCCCAGGGTAGGCCCCTGCCGACCGAGTGTACCGATAGTGGGCGGAGCCAACGCTTGTCGCTTGCACTTTTGCAGCGATCGCCCACAATCTCCGAGTCTGACGGACGTGAGTTTTGCTGAAATTCGAAAACAGCAACGCGTCCGGCCGAAAATATGGAACTGAAA